CAAGTTCGTTACTTAAGTCTTTTGTTATGGTGGCGTGATTGCTTTTGTATGCTCGATGTATATTAATGGCGGAAAATAAAAAACTTTTTTTTCTCTTATGAAATAAAAAAAAGGTAATATTTTTTGTTAGTTAATTGAAGAAAACATATTTTTTGGTTAACAAAAATTATTGTTAAATTAATAATTTTTTTAAATTTTTTATTTATAAAAGTGATGTTTGTTATAAATGTTACTTGCGCACACATACCAAAATTCTACCTATATTTTAAAGTGGTAAATATAGTTTTTATTCCTTACACCCACAGCCTGTAATTGCGGAGTTCAATACTTCTGTTGTAAACCCTGCGGACGCATCACGCGCGTCACTTGTCCACTTGACTGTCTGATTATTGACACGTTAAAAACTTTTATGTGCGCTTGTCATTACTTCAATTTGCTTAACCTTCGGCCACACAAAAATCTAGCTTACAAGTAAAATTTAGAAAAAAGTACGCAAATAAATTATGAATGCCAAAATCCTTTTAAGAACATATTAAGCTGAAAACAATAAAAAAAACCATACACACATACATATATGCAAACAACAATTATTCGTCAAACTGTCAGCGCGCCAAATTTTTTTGGGTGTGTCTGGCAACTGCTTTTAGCGGTTACTTGTTGTCATATTTGTACATATATATGCAAAAAATATATAAAATTGTATACCCAAATACTACCGCTTGTTTTTCTTCTAGCTACAACATTTTCCCGTTTTAGGTTCTTTGTATGTTTAAAAGCTTTTTTGTAATTTAAAGCCGCTTGTTTCTCTGTTGTTTCCGCAAATATGGCAGCATTACATTTGCGTTTTGCGTTTTGTATTATTTGCTGTAAATTAAAAAATATGAAAACCTTGTGAATTCATGTCAGGTTTTTAATGGTGCTCATAAGAATGTGGCAAATTCTGTGAAGTAAAATTTTTATGGTGCCTTAAATATATATACACCGGCGTTCTTGTAAGCATTTCGATAACTTTTGGTTATAAAACTTTGTATTCATAAACGAAACTATTACCAGAGGCGAATTAGCAATCAAAGCATTTTCGAATATGTAATTTTTTGTCAACTAATTGAATGCCAAACATTTTCT